CCAATCTGGATTTGACTTCCAAGTTCGCGTAAATCACTGAGCATGTTACTTAACTCTGTCTGGGCATCTAACACCCACTTGAAGTCTCTGCTTTGTTACTCTCTGTGCTCTGTGGGGGTTGCAATGGTGAATAAGACACCCTTCTTGCTCCCACAGGGTTCACTCTGTCTCCCTAATGCTTTGGGATCTCAGTGACTGGTTGATATGATACCTGTTTGGGTAAGAAGGGATCTTAGGAAAGCTCAACCCACCTGAGGCTCCTCAGGAGCCAGTAGAACAAAACAGTTGTTTTACTTTCATCCCCTTCTCTTGGTAAGAATGGTGCCAAACCAACACCAACTTCTCTAAAACCGCTTAGGTTGTTATCGTACGAACCAGACAATCAAGATTGTCAAAGCTGTATCCCCCTTATCTATTCCTCCAAGGGCAGGAAAAACTGCCCTTGGAGGAATAGGGCTGCCAAGATCACTGACCAGCTTAATTTTGGAGGGTGCTGTAAAATGCCTTAGCTCTTTCAGGGAGGGGTGGAGGGCTGAGACACACGCCCAGCCATCTCCTGGCAACTTGCACAGTGAACAATTGTAAATTAGGTGACATTTGTCCTTAGAGCCAACCCCTTCTGTCCCCCCTATTCCTTTTCTTACAATATCCTCATTTTCCTACTCCTAAGACTACTCCTTCCCATATTAAAACACACTTACAAATCACCCCACGTCCCTCATTTGTTGTTGAACATGCATGAGTTTCAGCCAACACATCACTTTTCTTGGAAGTAGTTTCATGTTCAAATTGTCTTTCCATGTAAAGTGGGAGACTTTATTCCTAGCAGAGGATTTCTTCTTTCCACATTAGCAGAATATTTGGTGTGCAGTAAGAGCAGAGGTTTTTTCAGGCCTCTGAAGACTCACATGGTGGCAGAGGCTGATGGCCGGGTAGTACTGTGATGGGGTCAGACTAGATCACAAACAAGACTTGGCTTCCGTGTGCTTCCTTCCTGCTAAAGGAGGCACGTTCCTGGGTTGGACCCAGCTAGCTGATAGGCTCTGTTTTGGGGAACCAGGACCATCCACACATCCAATCTGGAGCTCTACCTGCATGTGATCCTGATGCTCAAGGCCCTCATCTTTCTTCCTTATTGTTATGGTTTGGATGTGGTGTCCCCGAAAAGCTCACATGTGAGACAATGCAAGAAGGCTTAGGGGTGAAATGATGGGGTTATGAAAGCCTTAACCCAGTAAGTGAATTAATCTCCTCATGAGTGGTAACTGAAGGCAGGTAGGGTGTGGCTAGAGGAGGAGGGCATTGGGGATGACTTTGGGATCCATATTTTGTATCTGGTGAGTGAGTCTCTCTGCTTCCTGATCATATGTGAGTCACTTCCCTCTGCCACACTCTTCCGCCATGATGTTCTGCCTCACCTGGAGCCCTGAGGAATGGGGCTAGCTACTCACACGCTCTGAAATTGTGAGCCCCTAAATAAACGTTTTCTCCTTAAAATTGTTCGTCAGGTCTTTCAGTGACAGCAATGAAAAAGCTGACTAAAACACTTATTAATTTATCCTATGTCCCATTCTATCCATGTTCTCTCCATGGCAAAGTCATGTAAAACTGTAATTTGATCATCACTCTTAAAGGAAATCTGGTATTGACGGTGGAGAGAGGACTTTTTCTTTTTTTTTTGAGAGAGAGAGGACCTTAAATGTTACTGTTCTCTCTAATGTTGGGGACCTCAGCTTCCAGGGAAGCCTAAGGTAGATGGTATTTGGTAATGAAGTCTATAAGAAGCTTCAATTCATTCTCTGGTCAGTTTATATCCTCAGTACTGTCTAGCGACGTGGAATTAAGCTTTCTTGGGGATAAAGATAGGTAGACATGGCACTTGGCCTCAGGAGTTTGCCATCAGGCAGGATAGAATGGGGGATCCTGAATGCCAGGCACTTGCAGCCACCACTTTGGATAATCTTATCTAATCATGGTAGATATTGTAATCTTATCTTTGCAGATAAGGAATCCCAGCTCAGATAAGCAAACTGTCTTCCCCAGGTCCAGTACAGAGAAAGAACAATGGAGACAGAATGGGAACGTAGGTCTGGTCAGGGTCTCCAGTGGGCGTTCCCTTTGGCCTTCCACACCAGGAAAGAAACTGAGGCCCAGGGGAATGTGCAGACAGTGATGTGGACGGTGTGGGAGTTCAGGAACCCTGGAGGGGTACAAAAAACTTTTAGGAGAGGGGCTCAGTGGCCCTCAGGTGAAGTCTGCAGCCAGGGACAATGACTGGTTCCTTCCACGGTAGCTGGGAGACCAGGGCCTTCCCAGGTAGATTAGCTCAAACAAGGGCTTGAGAGTAGGATAACTATGTGCTGGGGCCCAAAAGGGGGGACCCAGAAGAGGATGAAGCCATCCCTGTGGGGCCACCTCCTCTCTCACTCACCGTGTGCAGCTGTGGAAAGGTGAGTGAAATGCAGGAGGCCGTGTCCCTCTAGGGAGAGGACGATTTCTAGGAGCCATTGCCTCTGGAGTAGGTTGTGGGGGCCTCTGCTCAGAGGTCCAGGGCCTCTTGCCGGAGCCTGCTGAGGACGGGGCGGACAGGTGAGGGGGCCAGGTGGTCCTCCTTCCCTCTCTGGAAGCCTGGCCAGTTTCAATTTACATAACAGCTTAATCCACAGAAACAGGAGCCAGAGGCAGGTTATTTCTCTCTCTCTTTTTTTTCCTCTCCAAGACACGGAAACCTTTATTTTCTCCCTACACCACAAACCAGTGCTGTTAAATAATATTGGATAATTGCACCTGTCGTGCTCCCCATATTGTGCCGAAGAAAAATAATTGCTGGTTTTCTGCTTTGCCGTTTAGCTGTGACTCCGTCATTTGACTCGGAGCATGTCATTTTCTCCCATTTTAGATTGCCTACAGTCAAACTGTGTGAAAGGACTCCCAGATAGCGGCCCTGCGTGTGTGAGTGGGCGCAGGCCTCATTCAGCAATGATTTCTAATTTATACAGCATTGAAAATCCACAGCTATAAATAAACAGTTCTGACTGGCTTTGCTGCCTACTCAAATGCTTTATTAAAAAAAAAAAAAAGCCATGAGAAAGGAAAACAAGACTGGGGATGGAGTCAGGTTTCTGGGCCTGGGAGGGAAGACAGGGCACTCAGCCCTGGGGTGGCTCAGGGCACCGCCTGGGGCCTTGGGGGAGGCCTGGCCTAGTCGCACCACCCTCCTGGCCCCCCTCACGCTCCCTGGGTGCGGGTGCAACATGTTTGGGGATTACAGTATATGAAACTGGCTTCCTGTTATGACAAATACTGCTAGCGTGTAGGTGCAGAGCTCAAAATAGCTCAGGAAATGTATGGCCCTCGTGGGGAGGAAGAGGTGGATGAGGTCTTCTACCCAAATTCAAAATCGGTTTCACATGAGAGCAAGCCACCAGAAAACAGAGGCACAAGCCTGAGCCAGTCCTTGGGGGTGGTGCCGCTGCTGCTACTCCTGGTGTCTGGGCGGGGGAGAGTTTCCGACCACTGGGGGGCCCCTGACCACCTTCTCTGTGCAAGATGTGAATGCATTGTTATTTTTAATAAAGTCCTTCAGATGACCAGTTACTGCTTTGCTCTGTAATGACATTAGAAAGACAGGCTGCAAAATCAAATGTCCTTGTAAACTTGGTTCTGTCATTACCCTGCTCTGAACCCAGATGTGTGTTGGAGACAAGCTATTGAGGACCCAGGGACTGGTCACATCTCTTCCCAATTCTGCCTGTGGTCCCATGTTGGTAGCTTGAAAAAGGCCCCAGTAGAGGGACAAACATGGTGTCCATGTCTACGTCATGGAAATGGGCAAACTCTATAAATCAGGATTTTACAACTCTTTTGCCCCCCCACCCCCCCAGAGAGTTGGTTGTTAAACATTTACCACCACTTGAAGCTTCATTTACTCATTGTAAAGGACATGTTTTCTACTTACAAAATAAGGACATGTTTTCTACTTACACAATTTTGCGAGGCTAAAATGAATGAGGGAGATTGTAAATTTCATGACACTATAAATCTTGCTGGTATCATGGTTTGGTTTCTATTATTGTCATTTTGTAATTACGAGGGACTTAACACAGCCCTGCACAGGCAGCAAATACTGTATATCTTTTAACACGTGTTTAGTCCATGTTCATTACAGGTGGGTCACTGCTCATCTTTTCTCAAGCTACAGCTGGCCCACGGAAGCTCTTGTGTGCCGGTCGTGTACGTGCTCAGTGGGAAGTGGCTCGGAGATCTCTGCTGTGGGAATAGATGTACTTGTACAGTGACCAGTCATACTGCAACCAGGGTTTAATTTGGTCCTGGGATAGCAAAGCCACAAATAGAAATCTGCAGCCCCATCTCAGCCAAGAGCTTACCATGACCGAGAAGTATGCACCCGAGTCATCTCTGGGTGTGGAAAGTTTGGGTGATCCCCAGCAGGCATTATGGTGGGGGTATTTCCACTGTGGCAACTGCTTATGGGGCCTGCTGAGACCAGGTCTCAGAGCAGTTAAGAGGCAGCAGCAGGTGTGGGAAGAGGTGATGTCCCCAGATCTATCCCCAAAAGACCCAAAGTTCATGTTTATGAGCAAGGAGAAGAGAAGTGGAGATTGCACAGGTGTCCTGATGCCTGCCCGCGTCTTTCCTGGGGATGCATGCCCTGTTGGAATGTTTTTCTCTCTTCTCTAAAAGGAAGACTGTTTATGGTGTCCATGTTTACCAACTTTCTCCTATAGACTGTCAGGTTATCCTCTGCTCTGAACCCAGAGTGTGCTGAAGACAGGCTCTTGAGGACCAAGGGGCTGTGTACCTCTCTCCCCGGCTCTGCCCTGGCCATACTCTGCAGTCCATATCCCGACCCTATGAGCCCAGACACACACTAGAAGGCTCAGTCATGGTTACCTACCAGTGGACATTGGCCATTTGTGTTCTTTTTAAAAATATGTCTATAAATAAAGGCCTAGAATAAAACCACTTGGAAAATTAAATCAGGGTTCAGAAATCCTTGTTAATCACCTTACAATCAACAAAGTACTTTTTACCACAGACATCTCAAAAGACCTCATTATTGTATTACTCCCTAAGCATAAAGCACAACATTTATTTGACAAATTAAACAATATTTGAATGGAAGAGATTTTGATAATGTCATTATGTTCACAGTTCATTCCTGTCCCAAATGTTTATTTCCAAAAAGGACCAATTTCCAAATAGTTTATAACTTATTTTCTCATTGTCCCAACTAATTTGCTATGATACCAGGTAGACAGAACTTTTGGGGCAACCACCTCCCTACATTTCTAAATCAAGAAGAAAGAGAGAGAGAGAGAGAGAGAGAGAGAGAGAGAAATCCACAAACATAACTACCTTACTAAAATACTTATTTTTTAGAGAAAAAGGAATTACTGGAAAATGGCCCAGAACCAGAGGTTAGGAGATCTGGGAGACAGAGCCATTATCTTCATTTAGATACTTTGACACAGGTAACTTCTCTTCTGAGTCCTCATTGTCCTCCTTTGGAAAGTGAAGAGTTTGGAGGACCCTAAGTTCCTCTCCCCTTCTCTACGTATTCTTTAACACCAATTGTATGTGAGATTCTTTGGTCTTTGGCCAAATTTTGACCCAGAAACCATCATCCTCTGTGGAGGTCAGACACAGGTAACAAATTCTTAGATGGCAAGGAGTTGTTTGGGGCACGTATAAACTTTCAAAGGACCAAGAATCCTCCAGTTAAGCTATCTTCATAACCTTCTTATTACATTTGAACATCAGCCTCTGTCCTGTCCACCTTCCTATGTTATTCCATCACCTCCCCCACAGAAATAATCATAATAAATAATAATAATGATAATATGAGAGAAAAAATCTCTCATGTTTTCTTCCTCCTCGGTCCTTGGAACCTGGCACGTAGTCACTTCCTCTTCATCCACGGCTGCATCATGTGACCTGAACAAACAGAACATAGACACACCTCAGGCTTTGGGGTTTCCCTAAGAGGGATTCTCATGAGGGTAGAGATCCAGCCTGATGGGGCAGCAGTGGGAAGTCAAGTTCTGAAAAACAGCCCACAACTGCCAGGGCAGGAAGCCAACTGCCCCCCTCCTTTGATGGTGCTACTGCTGTTGGTAGCTCTGTGTCTGAGGCAGTGGTCACTGCTGCTTTTGGTGAGTGCAGGCTGTTCACATGTGCAAGGGCAAATGCTGAGACCTCAGAGATGGAAAGGAAGGGACCACGTCCAATTAGAGAGGAGATGGAAGAAGGGTGAGTGTCCACCTAACTGGGGTCAATTCTACCACCTCTCACCAAATCAAATTATATCAACCCACGTAGAAAAGTACTGACAGATGGATTCTTCTCTTTTTTTTTTTTTGTTTTTTGATTTTGTAAGCACAGTGAGGGACCTTCTTCTACTGAAAGCATAGCATTCAGTTTCTAGAATGACATCCATTCATTCAGTCAGTTAGTACCTCCATATTGATTGGTCATGAATCTTTGCATCAGCTTTGAAATTGGTAAGATTATATTTGCTCATTATCTTTCCTGCCATTTGCCAAATACTTTCAATCCTACTTTGAAAACTTTTCTCAACGTGGTGTCTTATCCTTCATTCTGGAAATTAGATCCCCTGGAGTTTGGTTTGGTTTTACCATAGCAATCTCATGCTCCTGATTCTAGGCCAAGTTTACCATTCAGACCCTCCACTTTCACCAGTTTTATCTCTGATAGGAAACATTGAATATCTTCTGTTCATTTTATTTTGTTGGAACTCCCCTTCCTCAGAGGCTTCAGTGATTGGTGACATAAAGTCCTACTTGTGGCCTCTTTAGGCACTCTGATTTTCTAGAACTGCCATCTCCTGATCACTCAGTCTTAGGACCACCCTTGTTTTCATCCCTCTCAACAAGAGTTGGAGGCCAGAATTCTCCCTTGTGTTCTGTTCCTCGCCAATCCAGCCACCCCGACAGTGTCCCGGCATTTATTTAGTTTTGCAGGGTAAACATACTTCTTATTTATGTTTCCACTTATTTTCATCTTGATGTGAAACTCCCATCCAATTAGGTCCTGCCTAGGTTACACACTAACTGTAATCATAGAACCTTCTCTTTTCTGCAGTGCCTACTTTGGGCCTTTAAGGAGTCATTTGTAAACTGAGTAGCAGTTCTGTACCCTCATGTTCAAGAGCTTGGTCAATATGAACTTCCCTCAGCAGTCACTTTCTTGATCATGCTGTTTGGTAACCCAAGCCCCTGAGGCTAACTGGGATCATGACCTTCCGGCTTAAAGTCCAGGTGCCAGGGGCTGCAGATCCCTCCATTTAGGAAACACAGCAGAACAAGAAGGCTTAGAGAGAAGGAGAAATGATGGTGTGAAGTTCTGACAGAAGAGGAGAGAAGGACACTCCTTCTGGTAGATCAGAGTCTCCTCTAACCAAAACCAAGCAGTTTGGTGGAACACCAGGAGATTCCCGTCTACCCACTGCTGTGGATGGATGTGGTGGCCTATTGTGATTAAAGCCTTCGTCCCCACTGTGGTGATGTTGGGAGGTGGCGGTATCTTCTGGAGATGGGGTCTAGTGGGAGAACTTAGTTCATTGGAGGCTTGCCCTCAGGAAGCAGTTCTCATGGGACTCAGAGGTAGTAGCTCTAAGAGCCTTAGCTTGGCCCCACTCGGCCTTCTCTCCTTTCCTGGTTTGAGCTATAACCTCATGAATACTCCTTTACGTACACCCATCGTGATGCACTGCCACTTGCTTCCCCCATCAGAGACCAAACCAATGGGGCCACCCAGCTTGGACCTGGAGCCTCCACAGCTATATTATAAATAAACCTTTTCTCTTTGTAAAGTTAGCTGCTTCAGGTACTTCATTACAGAAATGAAAAGCTAACTAATATCACTAATACGCTAGCAAGGCACCATCCCCAGTCTTTTGTGTTGAGCTTCAACAATAATTTTATTCTGTAGAGATTTAACATGTATGAATACCTCAGAAATTTGGTTTTTTTTTTGCTTCAAACAGGGGTGGTATGGAGTGGGTCCTTAGTTTTGAATTCTCACAGAGCTGAGCAGTTTCTAAGTTTCTTAAGTCATCTGAATTTATCTCTCTGTTTCTATGGTACATGGGAACTGTTTACTTAGTAATAGGTCATGTATCTAAGTAAAACAGAGTTTATAAAATGGGTTTCAATCTCTGGGAAATAATATTATTTGTTATAACATTTCTTGATTGAAGATAATTTTTTCCCAGTAAAAAGTCTGCTAGTTGGAGGCGATGGATTAGATCCATCCCCTACTTTATAGTTCTTTCTTTACCCTCCATCAGATGTGCCAAGGGCTAGAGAGATTTTAGGCCAAAGATTCAATGTTCATCTATTGGTGTGTCCAAGAAACCATGTTTTAATCAATATTGCTATAGGTACCATGTATAATTATACTGTATTACTCAATAGGCAGAACACAGGATAAACAAAACAGTGTTCTCAAAGATTAACAACTATGAATCTACAAATACAAAAGCTTCTGAAGGTAAGTTTTTGTTGTTTTATTTTATTGTTGTTTTATTATGTTTTTAGGAAAATCCTAACATAATTCTTTTCCAGTACCATCATGAAGTCACTTGGCTAGACTGATTTTCAGTGTATCAATTTATGATTGTCCTTAGGAGAAAAAGCATCCATGGTCTTGGGACCTGACAAAGGATAGTTTGATCCCTGGCTAGTGGCCCTAAGGATATAGGAAGAGGGGGTGTGACCCTTGCCTGGGTCAGGTGGGAGGAGAATCTGCCTGGGGCCCATCTAGATGGTCAGACAGTGTAGGCCAATCTCACAGTGATCTGCCAAGACCGCTTCCTCTGTCTGTTCCATTGTTTTCTATCATTGTTTGAAATCAATTCCATGCTGTAAAAGCAGAACTGGAATCTTTCTTGGTGGGTGGGTTATTTTAATAATGACTCCAGTGCAAATAGCATTTGTATCCCTGGCTCTCAGGGCCAGACTCTGCTACTGTGGGCCCTGGGAAGACTTCATACGCTTGCCAAGTTTCCATTGAATTCTTGGTATCATTTTCTTGTAACTGTCCTTCTTGCTCTCTTCCCACTTACCCACTGACATTGTAAACGAGTGGGGAGGAGTTGAGCAGATGTTTAGCAACTGTGGCCCTGACATAATTATCTCCCTTGGGAGGCCTCCAGGGTCCTAGTTTTATAGAGACTTATCCTCAGACCAGCAATGGTCTCTCTGGGACACAGAATCCCATCTGTATCCAAGGTCTACTGAATGAGAACCTATTCTGTAAAGATCTCCAGATTTTCCAAGATCTTCGTTTTAACACTATCCAGAGACACATACTGGTTTGAGAAACACTGCTTCGTAACAGTGACTCTTGACCCTGACTGCAGATTAAAATAACTGAGAAACTTTAAATAACACCCCTGTTAAATCCCCATATCTCCGGAGATGTGGGTAATTGGTCTGAAGTGGACTTGAGACTTAATATTTTTAAGACATCTTTAGTGTTTCTATGATGTGAGGCTAAGGTCGAGAACTACTGTCACAGAGATACCTGGCACATTTAACTGGTCACAGCTGATAGTTTGCCTGGTATCCTTGACCACTTGATGCAGGTTGGTGGCACCTAGCCAGGTCACACACTCTCAGAATTTCAGAGAAAGAGATTCCAATGAAGTCTAGCTTCAATCGGCATGACCCCTTTCACACTAAGTTCTTGAATCCATGCACCATCTCTATCCATTTGCAGGTAATTAGTGATCGTTACTTTAAATCACCTTCAGCTGGGAAACTGGTAATTTATGCATAAAGTGGAGGGGAAAGGTGGGAATACCCCACAGAGGAGAAAGATGGTGATTTTGGTGGGGAGATTGAGACTAACAGCAACGGGGACAACTCTTGCTCGTAGGCAAGTCTTTTGATACTCAGACAGTCATCTAAGGACCTCCGGGATCTTAGAAGAAGGGTGCAAGTGTTATCTCAATTGTGAAAGGAGAAAATTGGCACCCAACACTTTGAGTGCCTTGCCTAGACTCTTGGTGACAGGGCTAACGTGGAACCCAGGCAGCCCGACCCCAGAGCTTATCTCCCAGCCGCTGCCCCCCACTGTCTCACAGAGGGTCTTCTGTGACTTGCTGCTCTCACCAAAGAGCTCCGACTGCAGAAGGATGAGAGAAGAGAATTTCAGTTTGGATTTGGACAGACAAGGTGACCACGTCTCTGTTGTCATAAATCTAGAACAGGAGATGTGGAGAGGGACTCACAGTCAAGGGAACCAGATGACGGATCGTTGGGCCTAAGACAATCCAGGCGTCAGTAAGGACACTGGCACAGCCGGCGGTACCAGGACCATCCCAGACAGACGGGCCTCTTGGCCACCCTGCCGAGATGTCCGCCTGCCTTGGAAGAGTTGAAGTGCGTTCCCTTAGGTGGGTCTGAGGCCAGGTGAGGGACACACCCCGGCTCTCTCCATCCCCTTTTCCAGGGTCTCCCTTGGTCTGCGTTGCCTGCCCTCAAGCCCATATCACCACCTCCCATACCCCTGAGCCTCCTGGTCCAGAGCCCTCACCTACAACTAGTGGAGTCACTCCTTGTCTGCTGTCGCTGGAACACCTCTGCAAAACGCCCCACTTCAGGCCTGGAGAGGAGGGCCTCGGATATCCCACACCGCTCTGATGCGTGACTGGGAAAGCTTACGGTATGGACAACAACACAAGCTCCTCATCCTTCAGAAACCCAAGGACCATGTAAACACAAAACCCTAAGGCAGAGGTTAAAACTAACAAACAAACAAACAAGAACACAAAACAGGAGCAGTACAATGTAAGTCTGGCATTGGGAGGTACAGGGGAGCCATGGAGCATTTGGGAAGGACGTCAGGTCCAGCCTGGGCAGAGCAGGGAAGGCTTCCCGGAAGAGGTGACCTGAAGTGAATGAGGAGGTGAGACCTGGGAAAAGCCTGGGGGTATGAGAAAGAAGCGCACGGAGGGCAGACGCAACAACAGGGAAGTAAAATAAGTAAACTGATGCTGCCGAGGCCCAAATTAAGAAGAAAGTGAGAAAACAGGAGATGGGCACTGGGTCCCGGAGAACCTGGTGTGTCGCACGTTCTCGGGGCTGGCCTTGCTTCTGTAAATTGGGGGATGAAAGTGTGGTGGGCAGAGGAGGACAGGGGGTTGATCTTTGGGTCGACATGGATCCACAGACCACTCTACTTGGTTTTTAGCAATTTAAAAGCATTCGCTGCCATTGCAATTTTGAGGGGTTCGGTTTCTTTTTTAATTGTTATTTGATTATTTGCAATTAATAAAGATCTGTTTGGTATTTAACACATTTCACTCATTCTCCTCTTCTTTTTAAATTTATTTATTTATTTTTAAATTTTTTGCAGGATGGGGGAGGGGGTTGAACCCAGAGATTCTCTACCACTGAGTTCAGTTCCCAGCCCTTTTTATTTTAAAGCAGGGTCTCACTAAGTTGCCACGGCTGGCCTTGAACTTGTGATCCTCCTGCTCCAGCCTCCAGAGTCACTGGGATTATATGCCTAGCCATCCATTATTTTCATAAGGAGATAAACATATCAAAAGAGAAGAGACGTACAGTCCTATCACTCACGTGACCATCTGCATTTACACAAGCATGTGAGGGTCCCTATATTGGCTTATTTGTAGTGGAAAATTGGAATATAGCACCTAAACAATAGGGCATGCTAGGAAGAGCTTTGTGGGGCTGGGGCCGTAGCTTGGTGGTACAGCGCCTGCCTCGCATGTGTGGGGCTCTGGGTTCAATCCTCAGCACCACATAAAAATAAATAATTAAAGACATTGTGTCCATCTACAACTAAAAAAAAAATTAAGAAAAAAAAAAGAAGAGCTTTGTGTTGAAAGTAGTGATTTCAAGAATAATAAATAATAGTGAAATTTTATTTTTAATTCAATGGATGTTTAAAATTCATTGTGGGGTAATAATTTAAAAATTAATCATTATTGAATTCAATACAATTGATTGAAAAAGTTGTTGTTCTCTAAGTATTCCCATTTTTTTTCCTGCACTTCTTACATCTGCCAAATTTCAAATGGAATTTTTCTTTCTTTCTTTTTTAAGTATAGATTTGTGGAGGGCATTAGAACATCTTTACTCAGAACTCCAAAGAGCCACAAATAGTCAGAATAGCTGTCAATGCATTTGAAATGTCAAGATATCTTTTTTTTTTTCTGGATAATTTTCTACAATTTGGAATCTTGCTTCGGGAATTATAATTTTTAGTATTTTATTTTTAAGTGTTTGCTTTCATATAGGACATTGCCTTAGATCTTCTCAACCAAATACTCCAAGAGTAGAAAACACATCGTAAGTCCAAGTTACTTGCTTATTTCTCCAGGATCTCAGCCTGTCCTCAGAAATACACACTGTGGTGCCAAGCCTTCTAAATTGGGGACATTTTGCACACACCAGCTTAGGGGTCACACCTATTCAGGCAGAGGCAGAAGATGCCATCTCTATTTGGGTGGAAGAGAATGGCCGTTGAGCTAGTGGTATGGGGGACTGCAGCTAACTCTCTGCCTTCTTTAAAATACACAAGGAGGGCAGTTCTTGGACATCTCCTTGAGTAGGAGACAAAAGTCATATTTTACAACCTGACTTTCTAGTACCTGTGGTTACTTTTCCAGCAAAAGCATGTTCTAGAGGTGAGGTGCAGAGAGGGGGGGAAACAAAGAGAATAAAATCTTCCCTTCCAAAATTAACTGAGGATTATTCTATGAAGAACCTATCTGGTTCTACCTGCCTGGGATTAGAAAGCTTGGCTTGCTCACATATTCCCACCGCCCAGGACCCTGTCTAAATGAGAATCCCAATGTCAAGTAGAGCCTGTGATTCTATTTAGTAAATGCTTTTTTAAGCTTGAGAAGCAACCTAATAAAAGAGGGATAAAAACTCATCTGGGAATGCACTGCTGAGATTGGACTAGCTAAGAGCGTCACCTGAGCTCATTTCCTTCAAAAAGGAAATCTTGTCTTTGTCCTTGTCCTTGTAACAGCTTTTGTCCTCCTGGCTTAGGTAGTAGGAGACTCTGCTACCATTTTTTTTTTTTCATTTCTAGAACAATATTATCTTGTTCTCTGAGTCCTGAGCTTTCTAAATAAGATGTACCTTTCAAGTTAAATAAGGTGTCGTCTGGGGAGGAGGGGAGATGATTTGATGGAGTCCTTTGGGAGTGCCAGCTTGTCCCAGGCCATGCCTTGGCCTACTTTGGTAGGACTTCTCCCAGTCCTTTGGCTAAACATCCTCAAACACCACTGCCTTCTGGGTTGGAGTAGTTTTTCCTTCCATTTCCAGAAAGAGTGGAGGAAAGGGTAAGAAAGAAATATCTTTGTACACAAGAGAGAAATACACTGACCCCATTTCCAGCGGTTGATCTTTTCTCCAAACAGGTAGATGCTGACACTCAGGAAGTAGCTGGAGGAGAAGAAGACCGTGAGGCCCAGCGGGCTGAGTTTTCCAAGCACAGGGTACACCCACCGGCCAGTCTCGGAGTAGATCCACAGGACCCTGTAGAAAGCAGCAAGTGACAACCATTAGGAAAAGACAGACAGACTAGCCACTTTCTCCCCACCGTCAGTGGAGAACTAGACAAAAGCAAGTACGAGGAGTGTCTGTCCACAGATTCCCACAGCTCTCTAGAAGTGTGAGTCTTCTCTTGGTAAATTAACTTGATTTAACAAGAAAGACATCTTATTTCATGGGGTGAGTGGGGCCTTTCCTTCCTAATCCATTAAAATCAAATCTTGGTGAGAGAATAAGGGAACCAAATCATTAGTGAAGGAGAGTTTGTGAATCTGTGAATAAATTATTCCTCCCCTGAGACTGAAGGTTTGCTGAGACCAGGGACCTGCCAAGATGGCGTCATTTGCTGGCTCGAGCCAAAGAAGTGAAGGATTTTTTTGTTTTTGTTTTAGTACCTAAGAGTAAGAAAGAGCTTCCCATGAGCTCTCCAAATCCTTTAGGACTAGGAGGAACAGAGATGGAGAGATGGAGCTTTATTGCCCTGATACAGTATGTCTGGGTTTAATTGTTGACTCTAATTTTAGCTCAAGGATATAATTATGGACAGAGTGCTAAGTAGGGATGGATGGATTTACAGGAAGGCCCAGATCTTGCTCCTGTGAGATTGACTGTAAGTCATTTCCGAAAGCCAAGAGAAGGAAAAGAAATGCTAGGAGAGAAGCCGTGATATCTAAGCAAAGCCTAAAAATGTGGTTTGCTGGAAACCAAGATGCTTCACTGGAAGATGCCAAAGTCTAAAATAACTTTAAAAATTAAATATGAGGAAGACGTCGCATCAGCCACAGTTTGTAATTGGTTAAGAGTACAGAATCTGGAACCAGGTTTCTGTGATTCAAATCCCAACTCTGCCACCTATTAGCTATGTTACCTGCAGTAGTTTATTCAACCTTTCTGGTGTAAAGTGGGAGACCTGAGCATCACACACCTTATGAGGCTCTTGTAAGAAGAAGGAAGGTAACACGTTAACTGCATACGTGTGTTCTAAGGAAGCTACCTAGAACAGTGCCTGACCCACTGTAATCATTGACAAGAGTTCCCAGCTTCTGTCTCCACAGAGGGGTGGCACCATGAGAATCTTCTCAGCAACTTTTCTTTGAGTCGGCTGATCTTTTATAACCATTGAGATAAGCCAGGTTTTGCTTCAGAATCAGCACTCAATTGTGACTATGCTGGGTTATCAAAAGAGTTAAGAGAGGAAAATGAAGTTTTGAGGTTAATTAAACTTGCAGAAGCTCAAGTGTGATCTCTGTCATTTCAAATTCTTCGTTAAATGTCTCAGGAAAGAGACAAGAGCTAACATTCAGGTCCAGGAGTAGAGTGAAGCCAAGGAGGCAGTTGGGGTGTAAAACTCAGGATTCATCTTTGTGCATCAAAAGACACATCAACGCATATAAAGGGTACCGTGGGAAGGGAAATAATGTTTGCAAATCATATATCTAATAAGGGGCTAATGTTCAGAATATATAAATAAGTCATTTAACTCAACAAAAAAACTAAAACAGCCCAGTTGAAAACAGATGAAGGACTTGATAGAATTCTGCAGAGGAGACATACAAATGGCTAGCAAACCCATGGAGTGATGGCCAACATCACTAATAAATTTTGATCACTAAATCAAAACCACAAGATGCCACCTCACTTACCTGCATTAGGATAGTCAGTATTAAAAAAAACACACACAATAAGTAGTGAGGATGGAGAGAAATTGGATCCTTCTGCATTGTTGGTGAGAACATAAAATGGCACACCTGCTAAGGAATACTAGATGTCCATTCCTCAAATAATTAAACTAGAATAATCATATGATCTTGTAATTTCACCTCTGGGTATATACCCAAGGGAGGGATTCAAAGAAATACATGTGCATTCATTAGCAGCATTATTCACGGTAGCCAAAAGGTGGAACCATCTCATGTATCCATTGGTGGTTGGATGGATAATTAAAATGTGGCATCCATGCACCCATTAAAACAGAAAGAACTCAAACTTATGCTACAACATGGGTGAACCTTGAGGACATTATGCTAAGTGAAATAAGCCAATCACAAAGGTCACCTGCTGTATAATTCCAGTTATATGAAGAAGCAACAGAGACAGAGGGTAGAATGGTGATCACGAGGCATAGAGACTGTTGTAAAAAGAGTTCAGAGTTTCAGCTTGGGAAGAAAAAAAAAGTCCTGGATGGATGGTGGTGATGGAAAGCCACTGACCAGTATACTTCAAAGTGGTTAAAGTGGTGAATATTATGCTATGTGTATTTTATCACAATTTTAAAAATTAAAGGAGATGTCGGTCTTTGGGCTGTACAAGTGTAGGTCTGATACATGGTCCCTGGTTCTGGTCCTGTTTATATCACTTTGTTTTCCCAATCCAATTTTGATGCTCCTCCAAGAATGATAGATAATGAGATGACTACAACAAGAATAGTTCTTGCCATTATTACTATTATTGGAAGCCTTGAAGCTGGCCGACCGAGGGAGGCGTTGTGGAAGGCTAGCCACAGGGCTTCCTGCCTGCATGGCTGCTTCCCACAGCAGGGCGGAGAACATGCCAGAGGCAGAAAAGAAATATCCCCAAGTCAAGAGGGCTTCAGCAAGGAGATGTGAAAACACTCCAAACACATCGTATTCATTTGTTCAGTGGGTTTATTTTATATACCTGAGATCAGGGCTTCCCGATTCCCGTGCACATTTATATAAGAGAGTTTACAAACAAAGACATCCCCCCAGAGGCCTGGGAAGTTCTGTTTATCTCAATTTCGGTTTCCTTCAGCATAAGACTCGAAAAGGAAAATTCCAAAGGTAACGAATGAATTGAGAGTTCTCACAGAGCAGGGCTGAGGATGGGTTGGCTGATGTTGGGGAAGGTCATGGAAATGGAACTGGGGAGGAGGGAGAGGAACTTGAGGAAGGGCCCTCAGCAGGGGGCAGGAGTGGGGAGAGTCATGCTGTCCAAGAGAGAAGGGAACCTGGCCCTCACGTGTCCCATAGTTCGTCTCCCGGACACACGTCCCCTTGCTCTTTGCCAGGCTCAGCCTTGCACTTCAAATCTCATCTTGAAAATCCACTTCTCTAGAAAGATCTCCTGGAGACCCTTACTCCAACCTCCATTCAGGTGGGGGCTTACGGCACCGGCTCCCCACCATGGAGCTTACCCTTATTGCTGGTTGGAGCTCTGCATTGGACAGGGATGTGTTTCCACCATGCCCATCTGTTTCCAAGGACGCAGGACCAGCCAGTTCTTCCTACTGCGAGTGATGGCTGTCAGGGTGGTTCTGTTGGGGCTCACACAGCTAACAGTAGTCAGCTCTCCACTTCCCGAACCACCACATCACTGTGCTGGGAGCCATTAGCCAAGTAGGTATGACAATTTCCTTGCCAGCGTACCCCATGTTGCTGACATGTTGCAGTGACATTGAATGTAAGTGACCTTGCTCAAGGACCAAGGCAGATTAGGGTGTTCCTGGTTTTAAGATAATCGTGTTTAGGGCGTTCCCGGTTTAGGTTCCAGGTTTAAGGTTTAAGATTATTCCTGCTGGGAATAGGGCGTATCCTGCTGCCTGAGTTCCCCTTGAGTTCTCACGGGATTTAGACAGTATATTTTGGAGATAGAAGCCCAGTGGAGGTGGATTTGGGCAGAGAACGTGGATTTCCCCAGAACGTGTTTGTAGACGGCTGGTGTGAGTTCGGGAATAAAGAGTTGCTGTTTGAATCTACAAGCTGTGTGGTGGCTCGTGATTGTGTGCCCAGCCAGACTGCGGCATTTGTGCCCAGCCAGACTGCGGCATTTGGCGGCCCGTGCGGGGAACTTCTGAAGCTTGGAGGTAAGTGAAATTGCTTGCCCCTGAGGAAGAGCGAAAGAATGGGTGACCAACTCAAAAAACAATGTGTTATTGTTTTGATTTATCTTGTTTTTGTTTCAAGCTGCCTATCCCTAGAAATTTCTCAGGCAAACTGGAAAAAATGGTTGACTAAAGGTTTGAAGTTTGTCGGCCCTGAGGAAGAGAAAATTGATACAACGATTTTTTATTCCGTTTTTGTTTCATTCAGTTTCGGCTTTGTTTTGTGCTATCTTATTGGGTTGCGTTATCTTTATAGTAGATTAGAAATTAGTAAAAAACAAACCGAAAAGATGTTAAGTAAATTGTTAGAGGTTCAGACCATGGAGAAAGACATTTTAGATCAAGCAAAAGAGAAGGTCTCTCGAGCTAGTCAGACAGAGGAAGAAAATTTAAAGGAAAAGGGGTTGTTAGGAAAAAGGCCACAACAGGAGGCTGTTACTAACTCCATTTTATCACAAGAGGGCATAATTCAACCAACAGCCCCACCGATGGAGACAGCTGAGTGGCCCTCAAACCCCGTAGTTGATAAATGGGATCCTGAGACAGGACCTCAAAGATTAGCATGCCCTGTACTTGAACAGGCAGGAGGGCAGCGAATTCACCGTGCTTTAGATTTTAAAACAGTGAAGCAGTTAAAGGAGGCTGTAACAACCTATGGTCCCCAAGCTCCCTTCACGGTAAGCATGGTTGAGTCCATTACTAACTTGGATATGACGCCAGCAGATTGGGCTAGCATGTGTAAATCTGTACTAAATGGAGGACAATATTTGTTATGGAAGGTTGCCAATGAGGAATTTTGCGCGGAGACAGATAGGCGAAATGCAGCAGCCGGTTACCCTCAAAGAAATCTAGATATGTTGTTAGGAAAAGGACCTTATGAGGGTCAACGGCAACAAATTGAATATGATCCTGCTATATATGCACAAATTGCTGCAGACGCAGTTAGGGCATGGAAGACTTTACAAGGACATGGAGATTTACAAGGTCAGCTATCTAAGGTAATACAGAGAGCTAATGAACCTTACGCTGACTTTGTAGATAGGCTAATTCAAACGGCTGCCAAAATTTTTGGGGATACAGAACAAGCAATGCCATTAATAAAACAACTGGCTTATGACCAAGCAAATCGTTGCTGCAGAGAGGT